AGCAGCAGCAGCAGAATTTCTTAAACGCAAAAGCATATCGCAGCAGCCGCCTCTTTAACAGTCGCCAGGTGCGCTGTTATAAACCCCCAAGCAGCAGTAGCAGAAACAGCAGCTGCAGTATTAGCAGGAGCAGCAGCAGCACCCGTACCTCCACCAACAACTGCAGCAGCAGCAGCAGCATCTGGAACAACAGTAGCAGCAAAACCAACAGCCTCAGCAGCAGCAACAACATCAGCAGTGGCAACACCAACAACAGCAACAACAACAGCAGCAGCACGAACAACAACAGCAGCAGCAACAGCACCAGCAGCAGCAGCAGCATGTGTGTATATGTTTTGTTTCTTTTTTCAGGGTAGTGCTGCACGTACACCCCGCATATTATGTACAGGTTTAGGGGTTGTGAGTGCTGCGGGTATTGGAGTAAATTCTTTTTGGGGTAATTTGTTAAAAGGAGTAAATAACGCAGATACAGTGCAGGCATTCGACCCTAAAGATATGGCTTGCACAGGTAAATTACTTCAAATATAAACCTTTGCATGCATGCATGCATATTTTGCATGCATATTTTGCATGCATATTTTGCATGCATGCATTCATATTTTGCATGCGCCTTAGTATATGCATCATGCCTTTAAATCCATGGATGCGAGCTTTTCTAGTTTATGTTTATTTATTTATTTGTTATTTATTTTTTTGTTTGTTTATTTGTTGCTGGTTTCTTTGTGTATTTGCTAGTGTATGTGTTTGCGTATGCGTTTATTTGTTTCTGTGTATATTCACGAATCAATAAACGAGCAAAGAAGCAAAGAAATAAATAAAAATATATTTATTTATTTGTTTGTCTATTTATAGTTGCTTATGAAGTCCCTGCCTCTTCATTTGATGGCAAAGATTATTTTAAAGAGCCGAAGGATGCAAGGAGAAACGACAGATTTACGCAGTTTGCTGTTGCTGCTAGCAAACTCGCGTTGCAAGATGCTGGTGAGGGTTTTGTAAACCCTAACAAACCCTAATTAACGCTTCTAAACCCTAGCTATAATAAACCCTAATTAACTCTTCTAAACCCTAGCTATAACAAACCCTAATTAACTCTTCTAAACCCTAGCTATAACAAACCCTAATTAACCCTTCTAAACCCTAACAAACCCTAATTAACTCTTCTAAACCCTAGCAATAGCAAACCCCAATTAACTCTTCTAGACCCTAGTAAACCCTAATTAACTCTTCTAAACCCTAGCTATAACAAACCCTAATTAACTCTTCTAAACTCTAGTAAACCCTAATTAGCCTCATTGATCCTGAGTGTGCTAAACCCTAATGACTTTCACAAACCCTAGTAAACCCTAATGAGCCCTAATCTACCCTCGTGTTTTTCTTACTCCTCATCAAACCCTAGGAAGCCCCATCATACGCTGATAAGCTTTCATTAACTTTGAGATATTTCTGTAAACCTTTCTAAACCCTAATATACCCTAATAAAGCTTAATTAAGCGTGAAATATATTAATATATCTTCTTGTACTTCAATAAGTCTTATGAGGCCGTCATGAGCCCTTTAAACCCCTTGGCTTGCTCTATCTCCTCATACTGGCAGTGCCTTCTGTTGCTGTTGCTGCTGCTGCTGCTGCTG